AATTCAACACATTCAGTATGAAAAGATTCATCTCCAACTTTAACTTCATGCATCTTCTCTCTTCAGCAAATCCATCTACACCATGCCCAAAAATTCACAAATACCAGATTTGGTCCTTTGCATTTTGGCTTATGGATTTGAGGGGGAACCCACTATCCTCAAAGGGATTTCTTCTTTGTAAGACTTCAAAGAGGATTTGGTAATGAAGTCTTTCAACTGTGATTTTCCAAATCAAGGAAATTTATACTAAAAAATTTCAATGAAATTTATTCATTTAAAAGCCTAAAAAAGAGTACATAGCTAAGATCCTAAATGAAAACTTGTGAGCTTGTTGCAAAAATACATGGACGACCCAATATGTTTCTCAAGTAACAAGCATAAATCAGAAAATATGAACTGACAAAGATAGGACAGACACATTTCTATCAAATTGTCAAAGCAATATTAACTTCAATAATAAAACTAAAGCCTCAAGAAAGTCTCCTCGCAGCCAATTCTAGAATTCAATATTTGGCTCATAATAAGAATTACTTCAATATTTCTGCTGCATTACAGAACCAGGTAAGTCCAACTCACTCGGATGGTAATGCCGTAAGGACGTGAATTGAGCTGTCATTGCAGAATCAGCACGCTAGCTGCGTGGTGAAACACTTCTTGGTCTAGGAGAATCGCTGTTACCATTGTGTTCATTAGGATTCTGAATTGTATGATGTTTCTTGCGTGGAGATTGGCTCCTATTGTTAAGGCTATACCGAGGGGGAGAAGCACTTCAAACACCAGATAGGAGAAAATTTAGTGATGAAAAAGAAGGCAAAAGAGAAGGCACTAGTTACCACCTTCCATTAGACCGGCCCCTCTGGCCACGCTACTCTTCATTCCTCCCAATATGCCTGTGGTGATCAGGACTGTGATCTGATCGCAATCATTTCCGCCCGACTATCCCTACTTCTTCTAAAACATCTCTTATGCCTCCTATCCCTATATTCATCGTGATACCTGAAAATGCTGCTCCATCAGACACTAAGTTAGATTTCAGAAAAATAAGTCACAATCAGGATCAAAATCTTCCATAGCAGCTAACACCAAATTTAATCACGTTAAAAATTTCATGTTCTTTCCGATTACTATGTATTACATGGATCCTAATGAGCTGTTCAAAAAAATGAAATAAAGAATCTGAATGCATCAAATGCTCAATCAATTTTGAAGCAATGCAGCTTTCTGTTCTCAATGCATCCTCTGCATTCATCTCTTCCATTTCTTTTACATCTTCGACCACAAAATTTTTATCTATATATGATTAGAGTGCAATAAAGTGCAATAATGTACAATGTGTTGGAACTTGGGGTTGAAAACATATCATTTGGCTTTGAGGCATGCTACGAATGCCAGCTTTCTTTATGTTATTTTCACCCCCACTATTTCAATACGCAAAAAGGGTTGATGGAAAATGCTTGCAAGGCACAATAAAGCCTCGTTGATTGTGTCTTGTTTTAACGAAACCAACACTGAATCTTGCTTTCTACCAAAAAAAAAAAAAAAAACACTGAATCTTGCTTCTTCGAGCAGCGAAGCCATCACTTTCATATAAGGGTTTCTACAACAATTATTGCACAAAAAAGAACTCTTCTATTTTGATAATAATAGGATTTATTTGTATTTTCCATATAGGACTCTTTTTTAGAAGAGGACGAAGACAAGCCTTTTATAGGCTATAGGTGTCTCTTGGAAATAGAAACCTTCCAAAGAACGTATATTTCAATTTAAAAGAAAGAGTTTTATTATGGGAAGGTACCTTTTTATTTACAACCTTTCCCAACCATTGTCTTCTTTCCTCTATTTTGAAATTTCTCCAATATTCCCCCACCATTTTCTAAATAGAACAACCCATTAATAGCTTTGAAAGTCTTATGCATACCAAGGAGATATCTAGTGATTTGAAACTTCACTTAGTGAACATGTGTTAGCAAATTATCCAGAATTGCATGATTGTTTTGAACCAACAATTCTAAGTGACTAATTGGGAACATGTCATACATAAGATTTCAAGCTTTCTAAAGTAAGAATTCAACATCACCAACACAAAAACTATTTGTGTGTCCTATATCCTTTTTTTATGAGTGCTATCAGAGTTAAGTCCCCAACTCTTAGAAGCGGTACCACTTCCACTTATATAGCCAAATCTCATCAAAAGTGCCCAGCACTAAGCACTTTAACAAAAATCTATTATAGTACCCAACTGTTAGAAGCAGCACCACTTCCACTTATATAGCCAAATCTCATCAAAAGTGCCCAGTATTTATTAGTTTAACAAAAATCTATTATAGGACATATTAAGAGCAAGGTTCAACCTCTACTTTGTTTCATATAGTTACCAAGTACTCTTCAACCTAAGATGGTACTATTTATAGATTTGAGAACTTGTAGTCACATTCATATGATGTGCTTTACTCATTGAACTTAAAACTTGATGTTCTTATCAAGTATTAAATCAAGGTTTCATCATGTGTGAGTAGTTTTACTAATAGACTCGATACTCATTCCTTTCGTTGTCTTCTAAATTTTTCTTTTGATAATCATTTAATCAACAATTCACCAAATTAATTCTCACAATACCTTGCAAAGATTATGGTGATTACCTTATTAGGAATTAATTGTTTCCATGTCTACATTTGTCATGTAAACTTCTTTATAATCACTTGATGACATCACATAATTTTAAGTCATCATACACATTCATATAAGAATGTCTTAGATTAATATGAATTCTTTAGAAGGTGTGACATCCCCAACAACAAGCAATATCGCTTCTAAATAGTATCATATGACTTTGTAATATCATGAATAACTGGAATTCTTGCTTTTCTCCACTTCCAAATTTAGTTTTTATTTGCTTTTCATGTGTGAAGGACTTTAGTCCTTATTCCTTTTATTTTTTGGATTGTTCTTACTATTTTAAATATCTCTTTGTCAATTTTATGACATCAATGTTTCTTCATGAGAGACATCAGAATTTTATCTCTTAATTTCTAATTTATCATAAGTGATTCGAATCATATAAATGGGGTTCAAACTAAAATGTAAATACTTCTTGAGTTTTCTAAGCAATAGTTTTAAATAAACTTTGAGTGATTTAAATCCAATTATAAAACTTTCTATACTCATTGTGCAAGTATTTCAAATCAATTTTGAATGATTTGAACCAAAATCCTAGAACAACTCAAATCATCACATTTATCTCCCATGACCAAGAACTATTCTTTCCTAGGATAAAATTATTTAATTTCTCAAGGAGATTTTCAAGGCCCAATTCTTTTTTCTCTTTAAATTTCACTTATAAGTTATGGCCTTATGGCTAGATAGATTTATGGAAATTTAATTCCATTTTCCCTTCAATTTGTCCAATTGAACAATTATGGTAGGCCTCTGTTAACAAATCAAGTACACAAAGTTGCACTTGCTACTACTAGTTATCTTATTAAGAGATAGCATTTAAACAAGGACTTGAAAATCCTTATGGTAGCTTTGCTAGTTCTTAATCAAGACTAAGAGCTTGTTTTTACTTGGTCTCTCTTATCCTTATTTATATCTAAACTGAAATCAATTTGATTTCCTAATGGGCTGCCAAATCCCATTTTAGTGTTTCTTTCTTCATTATGACAAGATAGTCATTATGAGACTTGATTATCACTTGTTTGAATTTACTCCAATTGAAATATGATATTGTAAGCAAAAATTAAGAGGCATCAAAAGTGATAAATATACTTATGCCCTAAGCAATCTTCCATTAATGAAACAAGACAATATTTATTAGCCTTTTATATTTCCACAAATCTCTTATCAAGATAAGCAATATTAAGCTTGTATGACATGTACAATGATTTTTATTGAAACTTTCATATACATAAACATATGTCTTTTCCAAGTTGTATTTTAACAATGAGATGGAATATTCAAGAGAGGCTTGTGACTAGGTATGAACCATGCCAATAACATAACCCATGTAAATAGAATTTCATTTACTTTATATGATGAGATGCATTTTATATGTTTTAATTTCTTATTTTAATCTTGATTTTGTTGCTATTTAGATGGATAGAAGGTGATTTTCAATGCATTTTACGTAATTTTCATTATTCGTACATAAAAAGACATGAATGCAAAATAATTGAAGTTTTTAGACCTAATTGAATATCTTTTGAAAGTTGAGGGACCGTATTGTGTGAAGAAAGATCACGTTTAGGGACCTAAAGGAATAAATTAGAAGTTATAGACTCATTGTTAAGAAGATAGAGGACCAACTTGACATTTTATCATTTAAAGAAATTGCAAAAAGTTCCAAACCCCGGGTTTGATGTCGACGCCACCTGATAGGTTAGACACCATGCGTTGAGCCTTTGGCTTTGGAAGGGAAGTAGCGGGTGAAATAAACTAAAGTGCCAACACCATTGCGGTATTGACACTAAGCTCTTTAAGCTTTAAGAGTTTTCATTTTTATCATGGATCCTATTTCTTTTTTAGTAAGGTTTCTTATTCATTTAAAATCAGACTTGGGGAGCATTTGGAGATCCAAAAAGAGACGGTAACAAAGAATTTAACATTAAAGGAAAATTAAAACTTGAGTTTTTATGGTTAAACTGTTTTACTTGTATTTGGATTTTGTTTTATAATATCAAATACTTTTATATTTATCATGAAATACTTTTTTTTTTTTTTAGTTATGAACTAATTCAATTATTTAAGACTATAATGTAACTTAGTTAATTTGATATAGAATAGTGTGATTTTAATATACTTTCAAGACTTATTATTTTATGTATAGAGTATATATTATTGTTCTTAATAGTTTTTAATGATTGACCATTATTAAAATTGATTTGGAGAGTATGATTGAGATTGAGAAGAAATTTTATATAATAGCTTCTAGTAATATATACTATGAATTGAATAAAAGTTAAAAATGGATCAACTTGATTTATGCAACATTAATGATAAGTGGATTTGAAAGTTTTTATGCAAGTTAGAAAGTAAGTTAAGAAGTTTCACAAAATATAATCTGTTTTTATCTATTTAAATTTATATAAAGATATAGTGGATTAATAAGAAGGATATATTTGATATAATTGGAAAAATATATTGAATAGATTAGAAAATTTCGTCGTCATATGAATAATAAAGATACTAAAGTACCTTAATTTAAATTATATATTACTTGATTATGGTGAAATTAGTTGCCCTTAGAATTCTAATTCTTGTGTCACTTAAAATCAACTTGGATTTTTTAAATTAGTTTGGTTAATTAATTTACTCAAATAATTTAATTTTAATTTTTTAAATAAAATTACAATTAGTTAATTTTGTTATTTAATTAGTTTATATTCTCTACAAGACAACTCTTAATTTTTATTATTATATTACTTAAAATGACTAACACTCTTACAAGAATAAAATTAACTCATCATTATATAACCAAATATCAATTATTCTTTGAAACATGTTGTAATATCCCAAAATTTTGGGGTATTTTAGCATTAAAGTGGAGACTTATTTGAAGGAAAATATTATTGAGGGGCTTAATAGCAAATATTTTCAAAGTTAAGGGACTGAAAAAAAAGAAAATTAGGATAAGGATCAAGGCTGATATTTCTCTCCTCAGCCACGTGTTTTGCTCGTCCTCATCTTCTTCTTCTTCTCGACT